TCATAAATCGTTTTAAATATAGCACAGAGAAATTTAGGGAGAGCTGCAGATTTAAAGGTGAAACAGATTTACTAGGACATGCAACACGCAATAAAATATATCTCCAAGCTTACCAGAAAGTTTACAAGAAAAAAATATGCATACTATATTTAAAATGCAGCATATCCATATCTTTCTGTCTGGATGGATGGAATTAAAATTGTATTTCTAGAGATGCATGATATATCAGTTTTGGCATTGGAATCGGCTGTTATTCGTTATGAAAGCGTTCTGGTTGAGTAACTGTAGGTTCATCACCCACCACCCAAGTGTTCAAACCAACTTTCATCACATAGTTACACCCTTGCTCAACAGGCTCTACCGGTGTGAGTTTACCCCCAACTACAATGTAGTTTGCCTCCATTAGTGTGTGAGTGAACGTTTGAATGACTGAATGTAGTATAAAGACTTTGGTCAAGTCCTTTGACTTTACCTTAGTGATGACCGTGTTTCCAATTTCACCATCAAATTGAAGACTTGGTCCTGAGGAGCTTTACTGCTAAGGGCTAGGTTTAGGGCTAAGGAGTGAATTGAGTTTAGCTCAGGGTTAGGGTGAGCTATACATTGGTAATGGGTAGGTTTTTAGCCATTAAATTTTTTTCTCCCTCGATTTATTGAAACATAGCCTTGCACAAAGAAAAGTGAGATTTTTATGAAGCTGACCTTCAGTTCTGCAGTAGCAGCTTCTCTAAGTAGCTCTTTCTCAACAGTGGCTGAGGCACAACCTAGTTAGAATGTTTTGCTGTTCACACTTTGTTATTTCATAAGCGCTTCTGTCGTTAAACTGATGAACAGGGTGAGACCAGAAAAGAAGCCCAAGGAATGTTTCTTTTGATTTTTTTTTTTTTTCATTTTCCATTCTACCAATGCAGCAGTGGGACATGTGGGCAAATCAGTCAGTGAGTTTATCAATATTATGAATTAAAATCTCTTAAATTATGTTCATTGTGATTATTTTTATCATAAAAGAACAATAAAACAAACTAGAGCTTTTAGAAATTGTTGTGGATCAAATGTCAATGATGTAAACAGGAGTGTTACAATCTCTGTGATGTGACTGGAACTACGACGCTGTGAAGACACACCCCTCCGTAGTTTTTTAAGTTTTAAAAACACTAGCTTCCCGTATTAGCGTCCTATTTTCCAGGTGGCTTTGTGCCACTAAAAGGCTAGGCAGAGTTTACAGGACAAACTCTGTCCTGTAGCTTTCAGGCCTCAAAAGGGGGGGCACAGGCCATTTTTTTAGCTGAATGTCACCAAACACCTTCTTGACAACAGTCCCTGTTCTTTGGGCAAACAAGACTGCCCCCTGCCTTCCATACAGAGGTGCTGAACGTAGTGTTTTCTTTTACATTCATTTCAAACCACATTGAACACAATGTTTTATGATCCCGCCTGCTGAAGCAGATGAGAAATTCTCTAGTTCTGGCTTACCCACGGAACAGCCGGGCCCAATTGCTGTCTGCCGCTTGAAACTGCCAACCAGTGCCACACTGGTCCTGTCGCTGCTGAAGAACTGTAAAACCACTAGATTGTGACCTATTGGTTCGGCTACAGCTTGAAACTGTGATGGCGCCATCTGAGCGCTGCTACAATGCTATACACTGTCTTAAGGGGACCCCCCTCTTACAAGGCTACTGCAAGTGGCAAAATTAAATCGTGCAAAGTTCAATTTTGTTGTTTGCATCAGAACAACTCAAATCTCTTCAAGAGCTCATCAAGAGACTGTGCTTCCACGGAACCAAATCATCCAAAAAGGGTCGGACTCCAGAACAGATTCAAATCCCCATCCCCTCCATTCCACTGAGCCAACAAGTAAACATCTTTTCCCCATTTTCATCTGATGCTTAATAAATACTCTGCTTGGGTAAAATATATAGATAGGCTGGATATGTTATATGTCTTGTTTTTTTTTTTTTCTAAAAGAAGGTTTCTGATTCAACTGCTGATGGTTTTTAGACAAGAGTTCTGAACTGAAGGCCACTGCTCACTGAGCCTGAAAGAACAATCCATGCTGTATGTTACTGTCTGCTTAATTCCTCTTTTTCAGATGTTTGAAGAGTTAGGCAACTATGGCTACCTCTTTGCCGGTCCAGTAGCAGGAGCCATGTTGTGAGTCCCATAACTGTTTTGTTCTAGCTGGCCCCAGAACCTCATATCTTGTACAACAGAAATAATCCATTCTTTCCAGTGTCAGTGTCACCATATTTGAATGCATCACTGAGTTTTCTTTCATTGTAAAACCTTGAACAGAATCTTTTAACCCCTTTTTTCACTTTTTGTATGCTTTTATTTACTCTTGCTCATTTTCAGTAGTGTTTAGTGTTTGTGTAGTTATTAGATAGTTATTATTATACAATAATGTTGTGTGATTTTTAGCTAATTGATTGATTGACTTTATTGATCTCACAGTTGAGAAATGTACTCCTTACATCAGCACAAATAGTCAAAGAAGAAGAATGTGCCAAAGGAAGAAAAAGGTGCATGGGATATATACAGTTTACACAGTGCATCCACATATGACAACTTTCTTCATTTATGGCAGGATCACTATACAGGGTTATTGCACAGGGTGTTTACATGGGTATTTATATAGATGGATATTTATATTTGTATATATAGTTATTACACTGGGTGTCAAATATAGAGAAATAGGTTTTGCAAAGAGTAAATTGCATATTATAAAATTGCACAGTTTATTGCCCTTGTAGTGTGGCATTGTAGAGTCTGGTTGGAGCAGGGTGTAAAAGTCTTTTACTAAAGCAGCTGCTCAGCTTCTCTACAGTCTGATGCAGAGGGTGGAAGGTGTTTTCTACAATGGAAGTATACTTGCACAGCACCCTCCTCTCAGCCACTTCCTCCACTGAGCCCAGACAGTAGCCTAGGACAGTCTCTTTCTGTCCCGCTCTGCACTGCCAGGGGCCCACTTGACAACAGTAAACTAATCTGCTGCCAGTTCTTCAGCCTTCAAGGCTTCATCAGGAATGATCTGGGCAGTGTTGTCCACGTCTTGTCGGCAGCCGTACGGCTGGAATCCACCTCTTCCTTTGGTCACGGACTGAACTTTAAGACCAGAGGTTTACTTAATAAGATTATCTAACTAAATTTAAAATGTTTCTAACTGTAACATCTAAAATTGTAATCTATAACCATTTTTTTATTATCTGCAAGTGGTAAAACAATGATTAACCATTAAACAGGCTTAGATCAGATGCAACTGGACTTNTTGT